CCTATTTCTCTGTCGAGAGTCTTACCATCACTCTCTCCAGCTGTTAAGTATACAGGATAGGTCAGCACCCTAAGAGGTCGCTGGGTCTAATGCCCCTCACCGCTGCCCCCTCCCTAAAAAAGGAAATACGCTCGGAGGCTTGCCCTTCTGTTTTAAGGGCGGGGGGGGGCGGGTGTAATAATGATTTCATTTATAGATTTTTTTTTTTTAAGCGATGAGATAGAGTTAATGACAGGAATACCTAGGCCTCTGAGACCAGGGGTCAGGCTACTAACCCGTAGCAGGGTGGTGGGCACAGCGGTGGTCGAGACAACCTGGCCTCCTGCCCCTGTGAACAGCCCGGGGTCACTAGAACAGATCATTCTTCACCAGGCCCTCCATACATTTGTCAGGTTTAATTCCCTAGTTGTTTTATTTTGGATAATGAGATTGGACGCTGACTGAAATGTGCTGGGTGGATTTACTTATCCAGTAGTTTTAAATGAAATGCCAAGTTGTTGGGAGGGCTTCGAATTTACAGGGCAGCGTGTTGTTGGTGTGTTGCTCAGAACACTGCATTGGGAAGTAGCTTAGAAATTAGAAGCTTCTGGGGCTTCCCTGGCAGTCCAGTGTTTGGTAGGATGCCTCGTTTCCACTGTGAGGGCCCACGGTTCAACCCCTGGTGAGGGAACTAAGATCCTACATGCTATGTGGCTCGGCCAAAACAGGAAAAAAGAAAAGATTCTTATTATATGTCCCTTTGAGGCTTTCCTGGTGGCCCAGATGGTAAAGAATCTGCTTGCAATTCAGGAGACCTGGGTTCGATCCCTGGGTTGGGAAGATCCTGTGGAGAAGGGAATGGCTACCCACTCCAGTATTCTTGCCTAGAGAATTCCATGGAATATTCCTGGAAGGCTTTGGTCCATGGGGTCACAATGAGTCGGACACCACTGAGCAACTAATGCACTTTCATACATCCATTAGCAACTTGAACTGCAAACTCAGTTTTATGAGCTGTCATAACATATTCATTGGGACACGACTGTTAATTAACACACTTACATACGCTTGCCTACCCTAACTTCAGATAAGGTAGAGGGTGTTTGCAAAGTGCAGAAGTTTCCAGTAGCTCGCTCACTCCTTAATTCTGGGTAATAACACACATGTGCCCCAGCTGATCTGTCGTTGAGTGAAAGAATTTAGAACCACAGGAACACAGATTGGGGGGGTGGGGCTTCCCAAGTGGTGCTAGTGGTAAAGATCCCGCCTGTCAATGCAGGAAATGTAAGAGACTCAGGTTCGATCCCCAGGTCACGAAGATCCCCTGGAGGAGGACATGGCAACCCACTCCAGTATTCTTTTCTGGAGAATCCCATGGACAGAGGAGCCTGGTGGACAATTCATAGGGTCGCAAAGAGTTGGATAAGACTGAAGCGACTTAGCACCCACGCACCCAGGCAGGGAGACAGAAGGAATCTGTTCCAATTGTCCTGTCCCTGCGCCCGTTTTCCGGGTAAGGAAACTGAAGCTTCAAGAGATTTGCCCCAAAGTCAGCAGAGGAGGCACAAAAGAGGGACAAAGCAGCAGACATCACCTCTCACTGGGCAGGGAAGGGGTTGATCTGGCTCTTGAAGGAGTGGGCATTTTCCAGGCAGGGTGAGAAGGCAGGACAGAGGTGTTAACAGGCGGGAGGCTGGGGCGGGGAGGCGGGGCCCCCTTACTGCAGGGTGTTGAGTGGAGTGGGGAGTGGGGGGTGCAGAAGCAACAGGACTGTGGCCTTCCGGAGGGCCTGGTCGGGACCCCTTTATGGGTAGTCAGTGCCAAAAATGATGACCCTATTCATGGCAAGCTGGCCAGACCTAGGTGCCCTCCCCCTGGGCCGAGTCCTGACAGCCTGCTGACCCCTGGCTCAGTGCAGATGCGAAGGAACTGTCACCTCCCAGGCCCGCCAGGAACATCACACCTGCTTGTCCCCTCCCTGTTTCAGCTTCTGACCCACCTCACCTCACCTCGGGGCGTCTGAAGATCAACAGCAGCTGGCCTGTTCTTCCACTGGCTGAACACGAGGTTGCCCTTGGGTGAGTCTCAGCCTAAAGGCCTCTGCCCTCGTGTTGGAAGAGACAGAGAAGTGAGCAGGGAGGGCAGAGCTGCCCCCACCCTCCCCCACCCCCGCCCCCCAGCTTTAGGGCCACGACCCTGGGATCCCAGGAGGTGCCAGGGAGGCCGAGTGGCCCGGGGAGGGCTGGACGCACAGCTGACTCCCTCCTAAGGCTCAGATGATTTGAAGTTGGCATCTTTTAACCCTCCGGTCTGTCTTTATGCATATGGGGTTTTAATGGAGAAATACAGACAGACAGATAGACAGATAGACAGACACACACACAGAAGCTGTTGTTGTTTAGTCTCCAAGTCGTGTCCGAATCTTTGCAACCCCACGGACTGCAACACACCAGGCCTCCCTGTCCCTCACCATCTCCCGGAATGTGCCCAAGTTCATGGCCATTGAATCGGTGATGCCATCCCACACACATATATATAAATTATATACAATTTAACACGTATGTATATATATAATTTTCTTAATTTATAAAAGTTGCCTCCAGTTCTCTCACAGTCTCATTCCAACTCAGTGACAGGTTGACAGCTTTGTCACCAACTCTCAAGAGTGAGACCTTTATGATAGTGATCAAGGGAGTTCCCTGGTGGTCCAGTGGTTAGGACGCTGAGCTTTCACTGCATAGGGCCCAGGTTCAATCCCTACTCTAAGAAGAATCTGCAATCCAATTTTTTGGCTGTGCCAAAAAAAAATGGTGATTTAAAGTGTATCTCACATAATTCTCTTTTCTCTTTCCTAACTCTCCAGTTGGTGAGAATAAAGAAAAATGAAATTCCTAAACTTCAAGGCCACTTCCAGTTGGAGGCCCCAAACACAAGCAATCACCTATCTGGCCCTTAGATGGTGCCAAAGGTTCATCTGCCTTCGAAGGGGAGGGGTCCTACCAGCCCCTTCCAACACTCAGTTACTCTTTGTGTGTGGAGATGGTAGACAGCCACCTGCCCAGGCCTGCTCTTGAGCTGGATTTGAGGGATAAAGAGACAAGAAAGATGAAACCTAGTTTCAATTCCTCCCTGTGGATTAGAGCGTGGAGGAGGCACCCAGGGAACACCGGCAGGAGGAGGTGATTTCTGGGCTGAGCTGAACTCCACACAAGTGTCACCTGGAGAAGAGGGTGTCCAGGAGGATGAGCTGACCCGAGTTTCCATTTGGATCCCCTGCCCTGGGGTCACTCCTGCTGTATCTTCCCCCTCAACCCTCGGGGGTGGCTCTGGGAGGGGCTGGAGAAGGGAGGTGTGAGGCTGGAACAAAACCAGAAACCACCACCACACTTTCGGTCCGTCCTCCCTCCCTCTGGACCTGTTTCTCTTGCCATATTCTTCTTACAGATCACCTGGTCAGGGTTGGTGTGGTAGTGCCCCAGCCTCCGTCAGTCAGCAGGGCTGTGGGCTGGGCCGGTGGGTCCGGGGGTCTGCAGCCAGCCTGCTGGGTCTGAGAGCATCGAGGTCAGGGGTGGGGGCAGGGGAGGGTGTGGGCTGAGGTCAGAGCGACTGGTCGGAGGAGTGAAGGGCCAGCGGCATGAGCAGCGCCTGGAGTGTGAACACCTAGACAGGGCTGCTGGCTCGGGGTACCGCGAGCCCCGGGACTTTTCTGCACGGGGAGGTGGGCAGGTGAAGACAGGAATGCAGAGCAGATGAATCCAGGGAGAGCCAGGTGACCATGGCGTAGAGCCTGAGGGCTGGATCCAAGTGGGACTCTGAGCTTGGAGAGTGAGGATGTCCTAGAGCAACGCTTCTGCGCACTTGGCAGCTTCAGAATGTGGGGCCTGAAGGGTGAGTCAAAGGTGACTTGGAAGGCCTGAAGGTGAGTTCAAGGGAAGATGGCAGAGCTTCCGGAAGACGTCTGCATTCCTGTCCAGGACCTCCGATTCCTGTAGGAGCCAAGAATGGGCCTGAACTCCGTCTGTGCCTCCCCCACGAAAGTTCTGCAGGTCAGGCCTGGGAGTGCCCCGGGCACAGTGCACACCTGTTGTCTGCCTGACTTGGGCGCAGCACAGAGACCAGGGAGGGCTGGGTGGGGGACGAGGAACCTTCCAGGAGGGTGTGCCCCCCGGCCACACCCCACACCGGGCCCCGCCTCCCCCAGCAGCTGACCCCAGGCCCTCTGCCTCCCTCCTGGCCCCAAAGCTGCGGTCCTTGGGAAGTCCTGCTTCTGCCCTCACTCGTCCAGCTCCCTTCCTGCCCAGCCAGCCCCTCCCTGCCTTCTTGCCCACATCTCAGCATCCCCTCTACTGGATGCCCGTCCTCTTGGATGCCTCGTAGACATTTGTGCCCAACACGGATCACCCTGAACCGGTCACCTGCTGCCCCGGGGTGACGGCAGCCCCCCCCCCACACACAGGACCCTTGACGTCACCCGACTGTCACTCTTTCCGGGTCTTGCCCACGCCTGCCCCTTCTCCACCCACCAGCTCTGCAGGTGCAGCCCTACTCGGGTCTCACTGGTCCCCACTTTCATCCACCTTGGCCAGAGTCAATGTGGGTCTGAGTGGGCCCCCGGGATGGCCTCCAATACCTCCCATGGTCCTCGGGCCACATTTCGGGTCAGCTGGCCCAGCGCACTCACCCCCTGCCTCACGCTGCTGTGTCCCCCAAACCCCATGACTCGGAAGGGCTCTTCCCGCCTCCACTTCCTTTCCCGCCTTGCCCTCCCCTTCTTCCCCACTGACTCCTTTTAGATTTCGCTTTGGCTAACCCTGTTTCTTCTCCTTCTCCTGGGTGCCTCTCCTCCCGGCCCAGCAGCTAACACCCACCCCGCCCCCAGCTCTCAGAGCAGCCTCCAGCATGCCCACACCCTGCCATCTTATGAATCCATGGGTCAGCCTGGCGCTGGCTCCACACCTGCCCGCACCGTGAGGGCAGCAACCCAATCTCCCGCCCAGTGCGTCCCAGGCCTGCACACAGGCTCAGTAAACGGGCTTTACGTGAATGATGCTCCTTAAACAAGACACCCTTTTGTCTAGCAAGACGGTGCTCACAGCAGGAACACAGCGGGGGGGGGGGGGGAAAGAGCGCATCACTGCGACCAACTGATGAGGAAGTGGCCAACCCCTCCCAGGCCTCCAGGGGTGGCTGCCCAACACGAGCCTCGAAGGGTGAGTTAAGATTTGTGGTACCGAAATATCCCCAATCTTGCAGTCAAATGGAAAGCTGGTTTGCTCTGTGGAAATGTACCATACAGCAGACTCACCCACCCACACGGCCAGAAACAGAGGGCGGCCCCATTCCCTGGCCCGCAGCATTCAGCCCCACCTCAGGAGTTCTACTGCCTGCCCTCCTGCCCCTCTCGACTCAGAGCTCAAACCGTGCAGGATAGATTCCTGCTGTGCTATGAATGCCAGCGAGGCCACCCTGTCTCCCTCCTCGTCAAGGGAACAACAGGGCGCCCATCCATCCACGGCACACCCACTGCGTGCCAGGGGCTAAGTCTTCCCGGGGATTAGCTCAGCGCATCCTTCCATGTCCTTGCTGTAGATGAGACAATAACGAAGCAGAGAGAGGTTGTGTAGTCTGCTCAAGAGTCACACAGCCAACAACTGACTGTGGCACAACAGACAACCCGCTCCACGTCAACCGTACCAATTTCCAAAGCGTGGATTTTCCAACATCGTTATAACTTGATTGTGAACGTTTCTCCAAGGTCATCGCTACACATCAGTTTTTTAAAAAAGCTTTATGAGATATACCTGATATGGAATAAAATGCATGTGTAAGGTACAATTTGATACCTTTTGACATTGGCGTGCACCTGTGAAATCACTCCTACCATGGAGATGAGACAGTGAACAGACTCATCACCTTAAGTTTCCTCCTTCCTACTCCTGTCGGCTACACCCCCAGGCCACCACAAATCCTGAGGAGTTCCAGCTCGCATTTCCTAAAATTTTATATAAATGACTGGCATTAAAAAAAAATGACTGGCATAATTATTTTACATATAAACCATTTACCAAGATAGGCCACAACCTGGGCCGTAAAACAATAAATCTGAAAGAATTCAAATCATGCCACGTACCTTCTGTGACCATTGTGGAATTAAATATCAGATATCAATAATAAATATCTGAAAAACCTCCAAACATTTAGAAACTAACACATTTATAAATCACCCATGGGTCAAAGAAGAAATCAAAAGGGGAATTAGAAAGTTATCGATTTACATTAATAAACATGTGTACAGCAGTTACTGGGTGCCAAGTGCTGTCTTGGGCCATTTCCCAAAACAGAATGAGCTAATGTTAGGCCTTACAACAGCTCTGTGAGGAAGACACATACCCATTCTGCAGACACTGAACCCTGAGGCCCAGAGGGAGTAACGAGTTGCCCCAGTGCCCAGGGAGGCAGTGGCAGAGCTGGGATTTGAATCCAGGACACCTGCCCCCAGGGTCCGGGCCTGGTGTCTCAGCTTACTGATGGGAGGGACACGGAAAGGTTTCAAATGGGGAAGAAAGATGGTCAGATTGCTCTGACAGCCAAGATCACTTTGGGATGAGTTCAACAAATACTCAACAGCTAAGTCTGCAGGACTTGAATATATATTACACATAGCATGGTGGAGGAAGCGGGAGAAGGCTGGGAATTAAAGGAAGTGAGTGGAGACCACGGGGGTAGGGCTCCGTGGGGCTCAGGCCAGGAGGGAAGGTGCCCAGACGCTGAGAACCCATCTCTATCGGGGGACAGGTTGGGTCTGGCAGGAACGCACGGGCAGGAAGGGGCCCCTAAGGAAATGCCTGTGCTGAAGCTCCCCTAGAACACTGATTAGGAAAGACACCGGTGTTTCAGGTCGAGGGGAGGCTGTGTCCCAGCCCCGCGCGGGCGGGCAGCTCGCAGAGCGAGGTTTAGAAAAGAACGTGTCAGAGTGCGCAGTGGGAACCGAGGACCGGGCGGGTCTGCGGCGGCGCCCTGAAGGCCTGGTCTGTCTCCCAGGAGGGATGGGGTGTCCCACAGGGTCTGGGGCGTGTGTGCGGGAGCGGGTGACGGGGCCAGATCTGGTTCTCACAGCTCGCCCCAGCTACGGGGTGGGGGACACACACCGGACGCGCCCGGGCAGAAAGAGGCGCGAGGCAGCCACGCGGCTCTGGAGGTCTCACGGGTGAGCGGCGGCCGGCAGGGGACGGGGACGCAGGGACGTGGACGGACTCGAGGTGCCCGGGGGGGAGGCGGGGGGCGTGAGCGCGATACCCAGGCCTGGAGGCTGGAAGCACCTGGCGCCCGAGAGGGGACGGGGCAGGAGCGGCAGGGGCGAGGGGACCACGGCCGGCCCGGGCCACTGGTTTGGAGCCGGCGCCAGGAGCCGGGAGGGACGGGCCCGAACCGTCCTGTCCTCGGCGACCACGGCCGGCAGGCGGGCGGGCGGCAGGAGTTTGGAAGGGGGTTAAGGCTGGAGCTTGCGGGGAACGCCGGGTCCACAAGTGGCCGCCGGAGGAGACGAGACGAGGGCCCGGACACCGGGGATCTCACCGCCGAGGCGCTGAACGGCTCGTCTACGCCAACTCTTAAACTTTCCGGGCCACGGCAGAAACCGGGCAGAAAGAAGGAAGTGGGCCGGGCCGCCGGAGGGACGCCCGCCGACGGTGGCGACCGGGAAACTTCGGCGCCACCGCCCCGGCCGCTCCGCTTGTCCTCTCCTCCCTCCCCGCCCCGCCCCCAGCCCAGGCCGCCGGGAAAACCCGGGCCGCCTGCCGGGAGCTGCCACCCCTTCTGGGGTCAGAAACACTTTTTACTCTTTCCCTCGGCGGACGCTAACCACCCCCACCCACCCTCACACGTGGCTGGTGGTTTCCGGTCAGTTCTCGTTTTAAGGGGGCTCAGGACGCCCCGCGCTGATGTCACAGCCTCCCAAAGTGGGGCTCAAGCCCCAGTGTGAGAACCCTGTTTCTGGAAAAGCTGGGTTTCTCTGGAGACTAGGAAGTGGAGGGACTCGTCAGTCAAGTTTGTTTACATCGTAAGGAGCTTCCAGATTGTTCCCAAGAGTGGGGGGTGGGGTGGGGGGGGTGCAGTGGTACGAGGCACTGGAGACAAAGGAGACCAGAGGAAGGGGATGGGAACCCCGAGAGGCCTGGGCGGGGCAGGGGTGCACTGCTTGGGAAGCCTCAGCTTCCTGAACCGCGAACGCCCCCCACCCCACCCCCGTTATTGACCGGGTTGAAGACCCAAGATCCTACCCCCCCCCCCCCCCGCAACCGCCAAGATTCCTACAATGGTGATCTGACACTATTCTAAACACTTTTAGAGTTCCCATTTAGAAATTGTCTTTTAAAGCAAGTTAATTACCCATACCATGAATTATATAATTCATGTGTGCCAGATATGTACTCAGTCGTGTTCAACTCTGCAACCCCTTGGGCTGTGTAGCCCGCCAGGTTCCTCTGTCCGTGGGATTCTCCAAGCAAGAACATTGGAGTGGGTTGCCATGCCCTCCTTCAGGGGATCTTCCCAACCCAGGGATGGAACCCAGGTCTCCTGCACTGCAGGCAGATTCTTTACCGCAGAGCTGTCCATCATACGGATATCTCAAATTACATGGAAGAAAAAGAGATGGGCCTTTTAACAAAATCAGGATGCGTGCGTGGGCTGGGTCAGCATGCATGGTCACCAAGTCCCAGAATTCCAGACTAGGGCCTGCAGTGCATTGAAAGATGCGGTTTTGAAACAAACCCAAAGTAGGTAACAGGGAAGCCACCAGCTCAGACACGGTAAAGAATCCTCTTGCAATGCAGGAGGCCTGGGTTCTATCCCTGGGGTCAGGAAGATGCCCTGGAGGAGGGCATGGCAACCTACTCCAGTATTCTTCCCTGGAGAATCCCCATGGACAGAGGAGCCTGGCCGGCTACAGTCACAGAGCCGGACACGACTGAGCGACTAAGCACAGCACAAAGTAGGTACAAATGCCCAAAGAACTAAGCAAATGCTGGGAGAATTCGGGACTGTGTCCCTTTCAACTCTTCCCCCACCTCGGGCACAATCGAGCCTAAGGACAGGAAGAGCCCACATGTTGGAGTAGCGGCCTGCGTTGGGGCGGGGGAATGTCACTTTGTTCCAGGGCCCACCTCTGGTTCAGAACCAGCCAAACGGACCCACGAGGCTCTGGAGCTCCCCTCTGCTCCCCCTGCACATACGCTGGTCACCCCTAGCTCATAGACCGCTGCACCCCACAGTCAGGCTGGGGCTCCGAGCCTCCGCGTTAACGAGGCTCTGACAGGCACTTGTTGCCCTAATTCCTTGTACCCTGAACCGGTAACCGCTGCCCCTGGCAAAGAGATGCGCCCTGGACCCCATAATCGCTGCCGGGACCCCCAAACCCCTAACCATGGGCCTGAGCCTGCGATCAGTGTCCCGAGCATATACATGGGACACGGGACTGGGCCCCTCACCCCGGCTCTGATCCCCTAAACGCGGCCTCAAGGCTCAAAACCTGGCCCCAGGCCCGTAGTCGGGAGTCCTGATGCTGAGGGGATCTGGAGCGCACACTATCTGGAGACACGGTGTAACCACCGAGAGTTTACTTTTTTGGACTTCCCAGAGCCGCAGGCACGGGCAATCAGCCCCCGGAGCCTTGACAGAGGTTGGGGTCGGGGGAGCGTTAGGCCGACCCGAGCCGAGCGAGGGTGGCGGGCCCGGGGCGGGAGGCCAGCAGGGCGCAGAACACCGCGCGCGCGGGCAGGTAGCGCCGGGAACGGTAGCCCCGGAAGGCGCCAAGCCCGCCCGAACGTTCCGGGCCGCGCAGGCGCACTGCGGCGGGCGTGGGCGCGCTTGGCACGCAGGCGCCTTGAGTGGTGGGAGCGCGCGGCGCGGCCCCGAGGAGGAGGCGTACGGCCTCCAGTGCGCAGGCGCAGGCGCGCGGCCGCGCCGGCGGTTGGGGAGGGTTCTTCCGGAAGGTTCGGGAGGCTTCTGGAAAAGGCGCCGCGCGCTGGGCGGGCCCGCCTCTATATAAGGGCGGCGCGGGGGCGGCGCGCCAGTTGCCTCTGCGTCCCTGTGCTGCGTCGCTGCGGAGCCTGTGCTAGTCCTTCAGCCAAGGTGAGGGGAGGCGCTTGTTGGGGGCACGCGGGGGTCCGGGGACGGGTGGGCGACGGTGAGGGCAGCCCCCGGGGCCCCCTGAGGTCGGCAGGCCCGGGGCGGCCGTGGTTAACCCGGCAGGCCTTAGGCCTGCGGCGGCCTCCTGTTCCCCGCCCCCCCCCCCCTTGCCATCGGGAGCGAGTAGGCCCGGGGCCTTCGGGGGTCGTGCTGGACGGCGAGGGCCGGGGTCTGCGGCCCCGGAGCGGGGTCCCCGGGTCGCAGGCGGGGGCGCCCGGGCGGAGCGGCGGCCTTGCGGCCAGCGTGGGCGGCGGCGGCGGCCGGCCCCCGGAATGAGGTCATCCTTTGTCAGCCGGCGCCTCCCGCGCGCCCCGGGCTCGGTAGCGGGAGCGAGACACGGCGGGGAGGGGGTCCGGCCGGCGGCCTCACGGCCTCCGCGTTCCCCCGCAGATGCCCGAGGAGACCCAGGCTCAGGATCAGCCGATGGAGGAGGAGGAAGTGGAGACGTTCGCCTTCCAGGCGGAAATTGCCCAGTTGATGTCACTGATCATCAACACTTTCTACTCGAATAAGGAGATTTTTCTGAGGGAGCTGATCTCAAACTCGTCCGACGTAAGTCTCAGTGCGTAGTGGGGTGTTTGTGTCAAAGGGCAAGGTTTTACGGGGGATGGTGTGCGTAATCACGTGTCTTTTTTTAAATAGGCTCTGGACAAGATCAGGTATGAGAGTTTGACCGATCCCAGTAAGTTAGACTCTGGGAAAGAGCTGCACATTAATCTCATACCGAACAAGCAAGATCGAACCCTCACCATCGTGGACACCGGCATTGGGATGACCAAGGCCGATTTGATTAATAACCTGGGCACCATCGCCAAGTCCGGGACCAAAGCGTTCATGGAGGCGTTGCAGGCTGGCGCTGATATCTCCATGATTGGCCAGTTTGGTGTCGGGTTTTATTCAGCCTATTTGGTGGCTGAGAAAGTGACCGTTATCACCAAACATAACGACGACGAGCAGTACGCCTGGGAGTCTTCTGCAGGAGGGTCCTTCACAGTGAGGACTGACGCAGGTAGGCGCCCGAGAACAGGCTGCGTGCTGTAGGCGCTGGAGCCCCAGAGAAGCTCTGAAGTTTGTGTGTGGTTTTTTTTTTTAAAAAAAAACCTGTTTCCCTGGAGGGTGATAGCATGCACTTGTGGTGGTTTATCTTGGGCAAGGCCGCTAACTGCCCTTGTACTCTGCCCAGTTGTAGTAACCGCAAGCTTCTGCTTAAGCTCTGAAGTTTGTGTGTGGTTTTTTTTTTTAAAAAAAAACCTGTTTCCCTGGAGGGTGATAGCATGCACTTGTGGTGGTTTATCTTGGGCAAGGCCGCTAACTGCCCTTGTACTCTGCCCAGTTGTAGTAACCGCAAGCTTCTGCTTCGTAGACTTCCCAAATAACTGCCCGGAGAGCGAAATAGTATTTTTCTTGCCTTGATCAGGCCATTGTGATTGAAATTGGTCTCACTCTCTGGACTTCTTTTTCAGGAGAACCTATGGGGCGTGGAACAAAGGTTATTCTGCATCTGAAAGAAGACCAGACTGAGTACCTGGAGGAACGGAGAATAAAGGAGATTGTGAAGAAGCATTCTCAGTTCATTGGCTATCCCATCACTCTTTTTGTGAGTTTCCATATATCTTAGTGTATATAGGTTACTAAAGTGACTGAACCGAAATCCTGTTAGTTCTTAAAGCTTTTCATAAGAGATCCAAACTTGCACTAGTTTCCTGGGCTGGTAGGTAGAGCTCTGTCGACTCTTGTCAAGGTTCCCAGGGCTGTTCAGATCCTTCAGAAATTAATGAGTAGCTTCCTGGCTACTACTGATTCTCAGGTGGTGTTGGTGTAAGTGCTGGAATCTTTTTTAGCTTTTTTAAGTTTTGTGATGGAGAGGTGACATGATTTGTTCCCCTTTGAAGGTGGAGAAGGAACGTGATAAAGAAGTTAGTGATGATGAGGCAGAAGAGAAGGAAGACAAAGAGGAAGAGAAGGAGAAAGAAGAAAAGGAGTCTGATGACAAGCCTGAGATAGAAGACGTTGGCTCAGATGAGGAGGAGGAAGAGAAGAAGGATGGGGACAAGAAGAAGAAGAAGAAGATCAAGGAGAAGTACATCGATCAAGAAGAGCTGAACAAGACAAAGCCTATCTGGACCAGAAACCCTGATGACATCACTAACGAGGAGTACGGAGAGTTCTACAAGAGCCTGACCAACGATTGGGAGGATCACTTGGCGGTCAAGGTGAGTGACTGCTAAGTGCTTCAAACCATCATCCTTGATGTTTGGGGCAGCATTCTGTTCCCTGATGCACCATGCTTTGCCTAGAGTCATTGTTTGGTAACCCTAAGTGTTACATGTGTTTTTTGTTGGTGCAAGTTGTTCTCCTTTTATTAATCTTGATTGTTTTATTATAGCATTTTTCAGTTGAAGGACAGTTGGAATTCAGAGCCCTTCTTTTTGTCCCAAGACGAGCTCCTTTTGATCTGTTTGAAAACAGAAAGAAGAAGAACAACATTAAGTTGTATGTTCGCAGAGTTTTCATCATGGATAACTGTGAGGAGCTAATCCCTGAATACCTGAGTAAGTATAGTTGGATATCACTGCTACTGGTCAGAGATTCATCCTGTCAGCTCCTGGTTTTTAAACTAAACATGGGGGGAAATCATTCCTCTTTGGTTTTTTGGCTTCACAAATTTGTCGGTTTTTGTCTTTGGAGTGACTGCATTTGGTCTGTTTTTCAGATTTCATTAGAGGTGTGGTGGACTCTGAGGATCTCCCTCTGAACATTTCCCGTGAGATGCTGCAACAAAGCAAAATTTTGAAAGTTATCAGGAAGAATTTGGTCAAAAAGTGCTTGGAACTCTTCACTGAACTGGCAGAAGATAAAGAGAACTACAAGAAGTTTTATGAGCAGTTCTCTAAAAATATTAAGGTTGGTTAGAAACTCATTTGACTATTAGGAGTATTAATCAGATGTTTTTCATTTGAAATAATTGAACACAGAGAAAGTCTACTAAAGCTAACAATGTCTTTCAGCTTGGAATACATGAAGATTCTCAAAATCGGAAGAAGCTTTCAGAGCTGTTGAGATACTATACTTCTGCTTCTGGTGATGAGATGGTTTCTCTCAAGGACTATTGCACAAGAATGAAGGAAAACCAGAAACACATCTATTACATCACAGGTAATTTAAAGGCAATAAATGTGATAGATGATGTTTGTTTTTGTGATCCCGTAGGAACAGTTGCATGTGTCTTCTACCCAGATGGTGTTACACATAAAACTTCTCCTTTCTTAGGTGAGACGAAGGACCAGGTAGCCAACTCGGCCTTTGTGGAGCGTCTCCGGAAGCACGGCTTGGAGGTGATCTACATGATCGAGCCTATTGACGAGTACTGTGTGCAGCAGCTGAAGGAGTTCGAGGGGAAGACCTTGGTGTCGGTCACCAAGGAGGGCCTGGAGCTGCCGGAAGACGAGGAGGAGAAGAAGAAGCAAGAAGAGAAAAAGACGAAGTTCGAAAACCTTTGCAAAATCATGAAGGACATTTTGGAGAAGAAAGTTGAAAAGGTGTGTGAATATAGTCTTTATTTCCTGGTTACTGACCCTTCTTAGGGGTGTTAGGTGTCTTTTGAACAAGTCACGCATACACAGTCCTTAAGATCTTTAAAGACATTAGAATGTAAAGGAGTTTAAAGCTTCGGATATCTATACTTGCAGATAGTATTTGATTCATTAATACTCAAGTTGCTTAAATATTAAAATAAACCTGGTAACAAGTACTGAGAATGGGAACTCTTTATGCCCAGTTATCACTATATATATTTTTTTCTTTCTTTTGATGAAAGGTGGTGGTGTCTAACCGGTTAGTGACATCCCCATGCTGCATTGTCACAAGCACATATGGCTGGACAGCAAACATGGAACGGATCATGAAGGCTCAAGCTCTGAGAGACAACTCAACGATGGGTTACATGGCAGCCAAGAAGCACCTGGAGATCAACCCTGACCATTCCATCATCGAGACCTTGAGGCAAAAGGCAGAGGCTGACAAGAATGACAAGTCTGTGAAGGATCTGGTCATCCTGCTGTACGAAACCGCTCTTCTGTCTTCTGGCTTCAGTCTGGAGGATCCCCAGACACACGCCAACAGGATCTACAGGATGATCAAGCTTGGTCTCGGTAAGCCTTGTGCAAGTACCATGAGTACCGAGTACCTTTGGAGAGAAAAACCAAAACACATGGCTGTTGAAAAGGGTGAACTTTGAGCAATTTCAACAAGTGGGCGCGCTCTTTCCATTTGGGTAACACTGAAGTCACATGAGTTACAAGGGAGTAAATAAGCCTTTTGGTTGTAAGGGATGAAAAATGAAACCACTTCATGTACCGTGTAATTCACTCGGCCTTGCCAGTGGGTATGAACCTGCAGTGTTGGACCAATCATGTGGCTTTAAGAAGCCTAATCGATGTTTTATTTCTTTAAAGGTATTGATGAGGATGACCCCACTGCTGATGACAGCAGTGCTGCTGTCACTGAGGAAATGCCTCCCCTGGAAGGAGATGACGACACGTCCCGCATGGAAGAAGTAGACTAAGCGCTGCCTGAGCATCACTTGGCTGTGTGTTCAGCACTCTGTCTCCATTCCCTCTAATATGTTTTCAAGTATTTCTTTATTTTTGTTAACATTTAAAAATCGTATGGCATGGTAACTACATGAGGGGAGGATAAGATTCCTTTATACTAAGTGTGATACTGTGATACTTTTAGCACTAAAGCAGAGCTAGTTGTTTTTTCCTAGTTTCATGTTGGCTTATTTTAATAGATGGAAGTAGTTACGTTTGTTGTAAGGTGTGTATGTAACCTGTGTTAACTTTGTGGTCTGAAGTGTTTAGCTATCAAGCGGATTCTTTAGTAGACCAAAATTTTCTGTCACTGAAGTGTTCTGAAGTATATGCCGTGATGTTTAAAAGAAACACTTGTTAAAGCAAGTTTTCGTCTTCTGGGATATACTTTTTAAAACTTCCATCCCCTGTAGTTATGACTGCATGTGCCAGGCCTCTAGAAGTTAGTGTGTTAAGCTGAACCAACTTGATTGGAATCGCTGTCCATACATAGGGCTTGTTTTCCAAAGAAAAATATTGTTTAGAGTAGCAAACTTATAAGCCTGCTCAGGCATGTTGTAAAGCCGCTGGAAAAGTAACTTGGAGCAAGTTTTGTGAATGGAAATGTAGTGCTCAAGTCACATTCTGCTTTAAAAAGTTGTAACAAATACAGATGAGTTAAAAAAATTCTGTGTAATGTCTTACTTGTGGGGGTGGTCCCAGAATGTAAAACGTGAGGTGTGCACCTCTTGCCTGGGAGAGTCAAGGAATCAGGTGGCTGGGGTGGAGTCCCTAGAGCCTTACTGCTGTGACCTTAGGGTGCTCAGGCCACGTGTGTGGGGTGAGCCTCTATCCTTAAAAGACAGGAGAATAGTCTCTCCTTTGATGGTATTGGTGAAGCAGGATGTGCAATATAAATATAGCCCTTTTTACTGCCTTGCCCTTATGAACCACACTTGTTGAACACCTTCCCACATGAAACCATCTCTGCTGCTTATTCTCTGGTTCTTTATTGAACCTCAGGAAAGGTGTGTCCGGGAGGCTACCGAAAGCCATAAGCAGCACACAGCAGTTGGAGCGGGCAGGCGTGAGCATTAGGGTAGTTGGTGGGAGGTCTACCCAAGATTTGGACCTAAAGCCTGAGAGAGGCCTGGAGATTCCATAGACTGGAAGATCTGTCATGGATAGTAAGCACTGGTGGGTAGTAAGTGCCTGGTAAGCAATAATCTTTAATCCTTAATCTAATGCAGAAGTGTTTAACTCCTGTTAGTCTAAGGAGGACTTCCCTGATAGTAAAGAATCTGCTTGCAGTGCAGGAGACCCTGGTTCGATTGCTGGGTTGGGAAGATCTGCTGGAGAAAAGAGGTTACCCACTTGCATTCTTGGGCTTCCCTCGTGGCTCAGCGGTCTGGTGCCAGTGGCCCTGCTGTTGAGGAATTAGTAATTGAAGGGCAAAAAGGAGGTTTTTCTTATTTCCCACCTCTAGTAAGGAGACGAAGAATTCCATTCAAATTAAAAGTATTAGATCCTCTATACATGGTCTCCAGTGGCAAAAAAAAAAAATGCGCACAGAGCATTTCCCCCCTGAGTTATGCAAAGTGTTTATGGCAGGTGTGTAATTTGAACTGCCCCTTAGCAAGCCTTGTACCGGAGGTAGACCACGGAGACCACAGGTGCCCACCCCTGGGGGTGAGAAGATGAGGTAAGGACACCACCAGGCTGGGGGTGACCTCCAATTGTCAGGGGGTCCCCAGCCTACTACTGCCAAGTCCAGTTCTTCATACTTCCGCAACTAGTCCCACCCTGATGAGTGTAGAGAGCGCTGGAAAGCAGAGATTGATTGGTATGTGTTCAGATGCTAACTGCGACCCCCAGTGGACTGTAGCATGCCAGGCTCCTCTGTCCATGGGCAAAAGGACTGGAGTGGAGTGCCATTTTCTTCTCCAGGGATCTTTTCTAAGCAGGCGTTGAACCTGCTTCTCCTGCACTGACAGGCAGATAGTTTACCACTAAGGCACCAGAGTGTAGAAGGCTTCTCTTACTCCGGGATTATGTGGTGGTGAGAAATCTACAAAACCGGCGCAAGGATTCATCAACAGAGCAAAGTCCCAAGATGGGAGATCAATATATGAAATACAATTTAAATTTTGTTAGCAGGAAAGAAAGTCATCAGTGTTATAAAATGTCTACCAGCATTTTAAAATCGGTAATAGAAAACAAAAACAACAAATTGTAATAGCATACTAAATAAGAATAAATTTTACAAGAAGTTATGCAAGACCCTGCATCTGAGAGCTGGAAAGCAGAAATTAAGAGACCAAGGTAAACTGAGAAAAGTGAAAGAAGCCAGACAGAAAAAACACTACCTCCTGTGTGATATTTCATAGAATTTTAGGAAAGGTACAACTATGATGATGGAAAGCAGGAACCCCAGTGGTGACTTGACTGCAGGGGGTCCAGGAGGGAACTTGTGCCCCAAAACTAGTGACAGCTGCACAGCTGTGTCTATTAAAATTCCAGCTTAAAATACACAAAATGGGTGACTTTTAACCGTGTTTTGTACATAAACAGCAAATGAAAAAAAAGCAAAGTGATAGAAAGCAGTCTATAGGGATTCAGAAGTGAGTTTGAGCAAGTCCTGCACCTCATTACTTCACTTGTAAATCAGCTAATATAAATACTCAGGAGCCTGTTCTGGTGTTTTCCAGGTAGCAGGTGCCTGGTGTTGAACTGGGGCTCACTACTCAGGTGGTCACCTTGCTCAGGCTCAGGTCCCCCCATACTTTATGCAGTGTAACCTGCTGCAAGCCCCAACCCAGGCCTCGCCCTTCTAGAATTTTCCCTAGACTGCCGTGGCCTTGCTGTCAGTCCTCTGAATTCACTAGTTGCTATCAGGCATAGATTCCTCATGGTTTCATTGAACACCAGCAAAGGACCAGCCCAACACACAGATGAAAGATGCATCACCAGGGGATTTCCCTGGTGGTCCAGTAGTAAAGAATCCCCCTGCCAGTGCAGGGGACACAGGTTCGAACCCTGATCTGGGAAGGTGCCTCGAAGCAGCTAAGCCCGTGTGCCATGATTATTGAAGAGCCTGTGCCCTAGAGGCTCTGCTCTGCAACGAGACACCACCACAATGAGAAAGCCCACACTGCAATGAAGAGTAGCCCCAGGTCACTGCAACTAGAGAGAAGCCTGCACAGCAATGAAGACCCAGCACAGCCAAAAATAAAGAACAAAAAACTATAAAGAAACATGCATCCTTGGGGAAGGCAGCCATGGCAAAGGCCATGGAGCCCCAGTTGTGGTTGGAAGCACAGAGCGAGGAGGGGCTCAGCTGGCAGGGCAGGGGGGACGGGCGTGGGACGGCCCCAAGGGGGTGGTGTGTGCGGGAGGGGTACTCCAGGAAGAGGGTGACTGCTGATACAAAGAAGTGGGGGGCGCTTTCCAGTGTAACCAAGTCTTGAGAGCCTGGATGTGTTAGGTCTTGAGAAGAGGTCCCTGAGCGTCTGAGTGATGAGAGAAAGCTAGAAGGTGAGACCTACTGAATGCACCTTGAACAATCAGCCTTGGGCCTGTGTTGGAGACTGTCTAGCCACTTAGGTGATGGGAAGAGGGTTGCTGTGGTCTGCCATGGGGCTGCTTTTTCAGAATAGGGAAACCTCCTCAATAGCAGGAATACGGAGTGGATTTGGCGTGACGAGTCAGCGCCACCATCTCCGTGAAGTTGTCTCATCTTCATGCCAGGTGCACCTTCGTTCCAGCTTACCCTACACGTGGGAAAAACAGTCCTTAGAAACCCAGGGCCCGGCCACACTGGCCATCCCACAGTCGGTCTGACGATCCTACCTTCAGTGATGGCGCTTAGGAAGAGCCGATAGGACCAGTCCTGACTCCCAAACATAGACGTGTTTGTTTGGTTAAGTATCTGTATCCAAAATACTTCATGTTTGGCACATGGTAGGCACTCAGATATCTGTTTACAAATGAGTCTCAGACCTTCACAGTTTACAAACACTTTAACTTAAAGTTTCTAGTTTCTTTGTCAACTTTTCTTTTGTAGATTTCTTTTTTTTTTTTTACCATTAAAAAAATTTTATTGGGGTATAGTTGATTTACAATGTTAGTTTCAGATATACAATAAACTGAATCAGTTATACTTACAAACAATTTGGAATCCTCTTCTCTTATAGGCTATTACAGAGGACTGAATTTCCTTTGCTATACAGGTCTTTATTAGTTATCTTTTTTTTTTTTTTAGTTCTACCAGTTTACTGCTACCAACCCATCTCACACATGCTCAGTCATGTAACCCCATGGACTGCAGCCCGCCAGGCTCCTCTGTCCATGGACTTTTCCAGGCAAGAACACTGGAGTGGATTGCCATTTCCTTCTCCAACTTTTGCAGATTTCTAAAGTGCATGCAGAAGTGGAGAGAGACGAGTAAGTGTTGACAAGGACACACAGTGTCCCTCACACACTAATGATGGGAATGTAAAGTCGTGCCATTTTGGAAAACAGTCTGGTAGTTCCTGGAAAAGTTAAACATAGAATTACCATGTGATCCAGCAGTTCCACTCCTAGGTGTGTACCTAGGAGAAATGAAAACATAACATATGTCCACAAAAACACATACAGTCCTCCCAGGGTGTCTGTCCCACAGGGGCTTTGTTCCAGGACCCCCGAGGACACCAAAATCTGAGGATGCTCAAGTCTCTTGTATGAAGAAAAGGGTGAAGTCAGCCCTCTGTGTCCTCAGGATATGTGTGCACACATTTTTGTAGCAGTATTATCGACCCTAAAGGAAATCAACCATGAATATTCATTGGAAGGACTGCTGCTGAAGCTGAAGCTCCAGTACTTTGGCCACCTGATGCAAAGAGTGGACTCCTGGGAAGAGGCCTTGATGCTAGGAAAGACTGAAGGCAAAAGGAGAAGGGGCAGCAGAGGATGAGATGGTCAGACAGCATCACCCACTCAATGGACATGAATC